TCTGGTTTGGTTGATGAGCTTAATCTAACATGTTGGATGAGTGTGAGTGAAGTTAGAACCATCACTGAGCTCAGCACGCTTTCACCCGAAACGAGGAAGGAAGTCCCATGCGTCAACATGAATATCCTATACAATCCAACCGGCTGCAGTACAACGAGTTTCATCCGTCCTCATCTGGGGAGATCGCGTCAACATGAATATCCTATACAATCCAACCGGCTGCAGTACAACGAGTTTCATCCGTCCTCATCTGGTCGTCAACATGAATATCCTATACAATCCAACCGGCTGCAGTACAACGAGTTTCATCCGTCCTCATCTGGTGGGATCGACCAACGAATCTCTTAACATAAATATCCTATACAATCCAACCGGCTGCAGTACAACGAGTTTCATCCGTCCTCATCTGGTGAGATGCGAATCTCTTCTTCATGCACTTTCATACGAAATGAAGGTCCCTCTAACAATGTTATCTCAGGAGATTCATTGAAACCCAGTTTCTCTTCGTATCTTCTATCAATTATGCAAGATCTATGACATCCTATGCTCTAGTCTCTTGTGGACCAACCGACAAATGTTGTGTTCTAATTCTTTTGATTAGGTTTAATGTAGAACCACAAAATTTGTTGGTTGGCACAGAAAAGACTAGGGAATAGAAAGTCATAGACTTCGCACTATGGATGGAGCCATGATAGATGTGGCGGAGACTAGAGCTAGTTGGCTAACAGTAGACGTGTTTGATCATAGACGTGATCCATAAAGCAGAGGCTTGACCATGAGAATTACCCGGGATCTTTAGCTGAAAGGTAGTCTCCCATCCAGTTTAATAATTCTAATTTTTAGGGGCCTACTCAGCGCGAATTGAGTATGCGTGCCCTCAAAGGCTTGAGACAATAGGAGATAACGCTTCGAGTAGTACACATAGGGTTGCAAGGTTCGAATGAAATATATGAACCCGAACGGTTCGGCAGCGGATTCACTGAGGTATGAGACACTAATAAGACCTATGGAAAGATTGCGGAATGATACGGCAGATTGCTCAACATTCCCAGCACAAGGGAAGTCAGGTGATGAGGAAGCCAGCGTGGAGTGTGGAGGGTTCTCATCGAATCCGCTCAAAATCTCCTGTTAATAAGTGCTGATTAATTAGTTTTGCTGGTGTGCGATGATTTTCAAAATCCAAATCCCGAATACCTTCAAATATTTTACATTCCAAACCTCTTCATAAAATGCTTATTCTAGTCTGCGTAAAATAGGCACGAAATAACTGTGCAAAAGATGCTTTTACAATGACTAAATAACTTACATAGAGTCATGGTTAGCAGGACTATGTTTTACAGAAAAACTGATGCCCTAAATTATTTACTTATTTGGATATAACAATTTCCAAGGTAATAAATGTAAATTGATTCATAATTGGCATATTAAGCCCAGGCAACTGGAATACTCTACGATAAAATTGATCTAAACCTTTGTCCTTGTCGGCAGAATAAAAGGGAAGAAAATATGTAAATTCTAATATGAATATTATTTGATGCTGATAAACAGCTTAAGATAGGCCACATCCATAAAACTATATGAAAAAAGAATCTTACCCAAAAATTAGGATCTCTAGTATACTTAACTAAAAATTTCGAATTTCAACAGAAGCAGATGATATTATTATGATAGCGTATCTTAGGCATCGACGAATGATGAGATAAAATCCAGGAAAATAAAAATATTCCTTTTAAACACAAAAAACAGACAATATTCGCCAATAAATACTTCCAAAAGAATCCG